GTTTCTGTTTTTATGAAGTTTATAGATATTTTAATTGGATTGAAAAAGGAATTTTGGTGTAGATGTTGAATGAATTTAATAAGTATAACAGGTTTCTGTATTTGAAGTAGTTTGTAATATTTTAAAAATTTCTTGTAACAATTGTTTATCTCTGTAGGAGTTGAAGCATTGGAAGTAGAGATAGTATTTGTGATGTCTTCTACAGAGTCGCTTACTGTTTTAAGCTCGGCTTGCACAGCTGTAAAGGATACCATAGCCTGTCCTGTACATTGGATCCGGGCGTCATATTCCTGGTCCTTCACTTCTTATTGTTATGTTAATTTTTCTAAACATGAAAGAATTTTTGATTATTTTAATAGTGAAGTTCTATAAATTCATTAAACTGTATAAATAATATAAAATTAATTAAAAATATTAACTAATTATAAAGTAAACTATACTTTTATAAGGTAAGCGTAATATTAATTGTTTACATATAAATCAATAAATTGATAATTTAATATAATACATATACTCTTTACTAAGATAAGTTATTTTGGTTTGTATTTATTAATAAATTTAAATAGATCTTATAATGAGAAAGCATTTATATTTTTTGTTAAAAAAATAGATAATAGGTAAAAAGTTCATTTTATTCAGGTTTTTTAATTATGTTTCAATATTGTAAATTGGAGTTTCTTTATTAGAAAGTTTATTATACTTTATTGAAAGATTTCTGGATATACAATATTACATGTATAATTAATATAGCTTGCTTCTTTTTTTTGTTGTTTATTAATAAGGACTTTTTAATTTTTTTTAGATATAATTCTTAAAAAAGCAATATACAATTGTCCATGAGAGAAAACAGGAGTTGGAAGATGCAAACCAACCCAGTTCAATATTTGACCTTAAGATTTGTTAATAGTCATTACAAAAGCAGGTTGTACTAAAAATTAGCATCGCTTAAAGATAAATAGTAAACTAATATTTGAAGATGATAAAGTGATAAGAAAAATGAATGCATGAATTCTAGCATGTTTTTTAGTAATTATCTCAGCTCAATTACATGCTTTTAAAAAGAATGACAAACCAATTTTGTTCTATTACAAAAACCATTAGGTGGGTAAATATTTCGCAACAGTATAATTGGAGATTCTAGCTTTAATATTAATTTATGAGAAGCAAAACCTTCAATGATAAGAGAATTAAGGAACTCTATTGGATATTGATGATTAGATTCAGTTTGATTTTCAATTGTATCTGCACTAAGATATTCAACAGCTTTACCAAGAAACTGAGTCATAATAGCAGCATTAATAGCATTAACATGTTCATTTTTTGGAGCTAGTATTGTACACTTGACTAAATATTGAGAATCAGAACTTGCAGAGAGATTAGGATAAATAAAATGAATTAGAGCATTTATATCTTGAGATGGCAAAATAATATCTTTAGGAAGTTGAATAATATTGCCCTCTATTCTAGCAACAGTAGGAATATGCACTTCTTCAACTCTAAGTAGCCAATTAGCAAATTCTTCTTGTTTAGCTACATCTGGTTCATTTGTATTACAAAGGAGATGCATGTTAATTTTCAATGGCATTACTTTAATATGCCTCCACAAAGCTGATCATTGTAAGCAAGATCCTACAATTTCTTCTTGAACATTCTTTATTACTACAGAAAGGATTTGATAAAAGTCTTCTCCAAACATTACAACTTTACCTCCAAATGGTTTTGTCTCTAGTAATAAGTCTAGTGTTTTCATAAGATCTCTTAAAATTTTATTTACAGCTTCAGATCCATGTCGATGTACTATTGGAGCCTCATCCCAGATAATGAGACATGCATTCTGCAGAAGTAATGCCAGATCAGAACCATGTGCTATTGAATATATAGAGTCTTCATGTATATTAAAAGGTATCTTGAACCTGAAATGAGCAGTTCGACCACCTAATAAGAGAAGAGTAGCAATACTCGATAAAGCTATAGCAAGAGCTATATATCCTTTTAAATGAATATAAGCAAGCAAGACTCTATATTATATTTTTAATTTAAGAAAATTTTATATTCAATTAGAGGTTTTAATATAATCTTTGGTTTGGTTACTAATTATAAATTTTTATATACTTATATTGTATAAATATTCCTTTGCATTTAAGAAAAATAATTTAATATTAATAAATCATTAAAATTTTTCTTACTTATAAAGAAATGTTTTTTCAGTTCCATCTAGACTATTTACAAAAAAAATAGCAGATGTTTTTGTTTCTACAGCTGCAATAACTTTATCAAATATGGCCTGTTGATCTACATTTAAACAGAGAAGTTCTTTTTTAATAATTTCTGCAAGTTTTTTAATATTATATTGTTGCTCTTCTCTAATTAGATAGTTATCTTGTTCAGTATTAGTGTCAGCAATTGGAATAGGCATATATAGAAACTCCTCAAGACATCTTTCATGTTTACTTAAGATAGATTGTAAATAAAGAAGAGCTCTATTTTGTATATTAGTATCTCTAAGTTCAAGAACCATATTTCTAGTATAACAATAGGTTTAAAAGAGTATATTATTACAGAATGAATAAATATGCTTTTTCCAAAGTGTTTCAGGTCTTAATGGTTCACAAAATATAAGCAAAGTGGGAAATAAGTTGTGTAGTTGTGCACCTAATTGCATCTGCTCAGCTTCTGTTAAGCATTAATCCCATTCTTCATCTTCTTATAATAGGTTTAAAGCAATACATGCTTCTCTGAAAAAATAATAAGTAATTCTATTTATAATATGAATATCTTCAAAGAAAGTTGAACCAACAACTACACTAAGTGACATTCTTAGATAATATCATTCATCTGCTGCAGGATGAACAAAATATATATGACCAATAGTGTATCCTTGCTGCCTTAGTTTTCATTTCTTTGCCTATATATCATAGGTTTATTGAGATGGAAAATTGGCATAAGTAAGGTTTCTTGCTTCTGGATACATTGTATTTGCCTAAAACCATGCTGTAAGAGTTGTCTTTTCTACAGCTGAAGTTGAACTATATCTTCCAAAGACTCATCATCTCTGAATAATACTCTATGTTGACCTGAAAGATGAACATGTAATTGCATAATATTAGGCTTCTCATTATGTAATCAGTAGTGAAGTATTCTTTATGAAGCTTCTAATACTAAAACATAGCAAGCATCTAAATAAAGTCTTATTTTATCATTTGTTTAATTATGTGTATTGTTGTTTCTAATTTCAATAGTTACATGATTAGGTTCCTTATAAACATATTTAAAAAGGTATTTTATGACAGTAATTGATGAACAAATTTCTATATTAATGTGACAGTCATATTTAAATATAAGATAAGGATTATAGGGTACAACCCAATGATTATCTGATTGAAACCCTTTTACTTTTACAGTTCTATCATTATTTCTATGTCTATATATAGGATAACTATATTTATTCTTTATAGTACTTTCCTGAAAGTTTCATGGATATTTCTTAAAGCATTTTCCATCCTTTATGCATAGGGCATTTGGATTAAGTAAACCATATGGCCCATGAATTATTGCCCTTTGAACAGTGTTAAACAGATCAGGATCATTATCTTTATTAGAGATTTTAGCAAATATAATTGCATCATAGTCAATAACAGTTTGGGGCTTGTATTCTTGTACAAGAATAATAAGAATATGAGCATGAGGTAGGCCACACTTTTGAAATTCTATTGTGTAAACATAGTCTGCTACTGATCCAAAAATATTCTTTTTCGGGATATCATTTAAAAGTGCTTTTAGTTTCATATTAAAAACTTGACTAATTAGATCAGAATAGTTAGATAATATTTGTCCTAGAAGAAGTGCACTTTTAATCTCAGACCAATTTGGATTGCAAGTTAATGTGATAAACAGGTCAGGTTTTCCAGCTATTTTTACAATTGCCATAGCATCTTGGTATAGTTTATGCATTTTGCAAGGCTCTTCTGTAAAACTTAAAGGTAATATAATTCATTGTCCTATATTTATTGAACTATTTTCTGCATATATAGCATCTTGAATTCTATTATATAATTCTGCATATAGTTGTTTTTGGTTATATCTTAGATAGTTAAGACATGTTTCTTCTATTACTGAATACATATCTACAATCCATTGTTGGAAGAGTCACTCATACCAATGCAAAGTTAATGCTTCATTAGAACAACCAATTTGAAGCCTATATGAAAGATAATTCATTTTTGTAACATATTTATTTGGCTCATTTTTTTGATTTTCATTATTAGGCTCTAATATATTATTATCTTGGCCATTTGTATAATTATTACATATAGGAATATTAGAATACCATCCATCTTCACTTCTAAAAAATATAAGAACTTAATGAAAAGGTTCATATGCAGAGTATAATTCTGATATTCTTTGTAGTTCTCTATTATTTGAATATAATACAATATCTCTGTTTAATGGTTCTGCTTCTTGTTCATTTTTTACTATAATAATAGCAACTTCAGATGCACTTAGAGTATTATAATGATGAGGGTCTTTAGTTCTATTATTTGTAATTATTAATTTTAAGTCTAATAATAGATCACAATTTAAAAAATATCCAAC